CCTAAACCCTAAACAACCTAAACCCTAAACCCTATCCCCTAAACCCCTAAACCCCAAACCCTAAACCCTAAACCCCTAAGCCCTAAACCCCTTAAAACCCTAAACAGTCATAGACCCCACAGCCGAGTTGCGGTTCGAGGTTTCGAGTGCGGCCCTTCCCCGAGAGCGACCCCCCCTCATTCCCCTTAAGTAAGGGATAGATGGGTAGTTCTCTAAATTAGGGTCCCTTTTTAGGGTCCCTTAAAGGGATCTATAAGGGTTTCTATAGGGTCTCTATAAGGGCACTATAAGGGTAGTTCTCTAAATTAGGATCCCTTTTTCAGTCCCCAATATAGTACGGCACTCTTATAAAAAGGACCCTAAAAGGGACTCTAGTTTAGAGAACTACCCATATCTCGAATTAGGGTTTAGGGTTTAGGATTATTTTAGATTGTAACACGAAGCTGGCAATAGTTAAAAAGACAGTTCTTAATGCAGGGGTATTCGGCTCTTTGACTTAAGCCCCGAATCCTGAGACCATCAACCCTGTAAGCAGCAAGCACGCCAGGTCACAGAGAATCTCGACGCAACCACCGGCCGGCGCGGCAAACCATCCTACATGGCACCCTGGCTTCAGTTGCTTCCCCTTGAACCCTAGTCGAAAGATCTCAATTCATTTCCCCTTAGAACCCTAAACCCTAAACCCTAAACCCTAAACCCTAAGTCCAAAATAGTTTTCCTGACTGAAGGGGTATTGGGGTCTCTGGGAAGGCCCCAGTCCCGAAACTCGGGTCCTATGGGAAGGCCGTGGGCAGCCTGGTTTCGTAAAAATGTAGTTTAGGGTTTAGGGTTTAGGGTTTAGGGTTTAGGGTTTAGGGTTAGGAGTCTCGGTTTTCGGGCTTAGGTTTTGTAGGAGTCTCGGTTTTCGGGTTTAGGTTTTGTTGCCTTTGGTTGAGTTTTAGCAGTTGAGATGCTGAAAGGATTTGGGATACATCAGTGATAAGCCGTAAACCGCAGAAGCCATAATAGGCTCGGAGTTCAACACTGACTCGGTTGGATACGAGGAAGGGGGTTGGCCAGAGGGCTCCCTCCATCGAGAAGGTAGGTCCCTGGTCACAAAAATGCGGCGGTCCTGAACCACGGTTGTAAATCGGATACCGACCATAGCTGGCAGTGAGCTTGACACTCGTTCTTTCCAACGGAAATACCGTAAACACGAGAAGAACCCGAAACCCTGGACACAAGGACCCCTTGAAACCTCGCCCTCCCCCCCTTCCGACACCCGCAAAATCCTTAAGCCCCTACTTGGAGGCTCAGGGGACTTAGTAAGTAGGTTATAAGTAGAGTTATAAGTACCCTAACTGGAGTTACCGCAATTATAACCCTTTAGGATTATAGGATCCTTGACGTGATTGAGCGGCTTTTTGTTTGGTTGGTGGGCGGCCTGCAGGCAAGGGTGCTTATGGCCGTGACAACCCCGATTGCGGTACCAATAAGCCCCAACTGGTTACTATTCCCAGAGACCCAAACCCTGTTAAGAAGCCCATCTACCTACGTCCATGAAATTCAGGTTCAAGCCGCGTAAACGGTAAGGTGCACTGCACTACTTATTGCTACCTTTCTGCCGGAGACAAGCGGTTAAGAAGCCATAATACTTGGAGGTTCATGTGTAGTTATAAGTGGGGTTATAAGTCCCCTAATATGGGTTATGAGTATAGTTACCCTACTTATAACCCCACTTACAACTACCCCTGAACCTCCAAGTAAACTTTCTATCATGAACCTTCAAGTGTGACCTGAGGCACCAGAGATGTTCACGGTGCGCTCTTCTCCCGCCTTGCTTTCTGGGAATGCCCTCAGCCCTAAGCCCTAAAGCCTAACCCTAAGCCCTAGACCCTAAACCCTGAACCCTGAACCCTAAGCCCTAAGCCCTAAAGCATAGACCTAAACCCTAAACCCTANNNCCCTAAAGCCTAAACCTAAACCCTGAAGTTTGGGGGTTTGGACTTCGGACTTCAGGGGTTTTGAGGTTTCGAGGGAGCCAGAGGGTTCAGGGTTTAGGGTTTAGGGCTTGAGGCATGTAGGGTTTGAGGGTTTGGAGTTTCGCCCATTTCTGGCCAATACCATTGCTGTTCTGGTTTACTGTTGCTCTTGTTGTTGTTTTGATGGCATTGACGATTTAGGGTTTAGGGCCGAGGAAATTTCGGTGGGCTAGTGCTCACAGAGTCTGAGTCTGGACTTTCAGGATTTCATGTTCGGGGTGTTGGGTTTGGAGTTAAGGGTTTAGGGTTTAGGGTTGGGGTTTCAGGGGTTTGAATTCGGGTTTCGGGCTTGAATGTTTAGGGAGGCCCTTCAGCAATTCCCTAAACCCTAAACCCTAAACCCTAAACCCTAAGCCGGACCGCTGAGACGCTCCACCTCCACATTTTCGACGCAGGGAGTGCGAGCCGTAAGCCCTAGGACCTAAGACCTGAATCCTCAACCCTAAACCCTAAACGCTAAACCCTAAACCGCAAAAACCAAATCTACCGTCTAAACCTATTCCTGAAACCTAAAACCCTAAAACTCGGGGCCCAAAAAAGCACATAAGCAAAAACCAGGGTAGGGATGTCCCATATAAACCCCCTTGTAATGAAGCCCAATAAGGTAGGGATATCCCTATAAAATGTTTATGCTTATGTCGTTTTTGGGTTCCTCAAAAACCTCAAACCTAAACCTAAAGTCCGAGCCTCAAAGTGTAAAGCCTAAAGTTACAACCCAAGCGCGGGACCCTAAAGCCTGGTTCAAAGTGCCATAATTAAAAATTAGCCTACTTTGGTTTAGCTTCTTATGGTTTGCCTCAATATAAAAATCTATAGGGACCCCACGCACCCTAAACCCTAAACCCTAAGCCCTGAACCCTAAACCCGAAACCCTAAAGTCGGTTTTGGGTAGTTTAAGGCAGTTTAGGGTTTAGGGTTTAGGGCTATATAAGGGTTTCGGGTTTAGGGTTTCAAGTTTTTGAGGTTTAGTGTTTCGGGACCCCACCCCTAAGCCAAATAACCCTTCAAACCCTAAGCCCGAAACCAGACTCTGAGCCCCAAGCTTTAAAGGCTGAACCTCAGGGGCCGCAATCGAAAGTCTTTCCGGGGTACAAAATAGCGTTTTATGGGGTTCAAGGTGAGAGGCTTGGGCTCTTTTAGGGCTTTGTAGGGTTTAGGGTTTAGGAAGGGTTTAGGCTTTAGGGTTTAGGGTTTAGGGTTTTTATCAGCATTTCATAGGTTCGTCGACTGGTTTCAGTGAAGTTCGGTCCTAATGAAACGAGCGCCCATCAGTGTAAGGTTCTCTTTCATGCCGACGCAGTTTCTGGCTGTGATAGCCTGTTGGCAAAAGGCAGGCCCGTGTCAGGACCCTAAACCAAAGCCTGAAGGGCCCAGAAAAAGGGGCCCTAACTTGTCCTTAACCCCTCGAGCAGCCTGACCCACTACAAGAAATCAGTCCCGACAACCTTTAGGCCCTAAACCCCCCAAAATTTCCCACGGTTTAGAGAGTTTAGGGTTGGTGATGCTGATGGACAAAGGGCTCAACAAAAACACACTCTAAGCCTCAAGCCCAAAGCTTTAAACCCTCAACGCTCGAATTTCAATGCTCAATCCTAAATCCGACAAGAGCTCACCGGCATCAATCGCAGCTGCCATGCGCCGCACTCCCAACAGCTTCGAGGCTGCTGGAACCCTTCATAAATCACGAGGGATTCCAAGACACTGTAGTTTTTAATTTTCAGGGTTTCATGGGGGGTTAAGATTTAAGGCTGCGGATTTAGAGTTTATGGTTTAAGGCTTTGGGATTTAGGGTTTGAGACTGAGGGCTTTGGGTTTAGGGTCTGGGGCTTAGGCATTAGGGTTTTCGTTAGTCAGGAATCTTTCGTTGATGAGACAGAGGAGTGCTGGCACTATTAGGGCACTCGAGGTATATCCTAGTGTGCCTCAAGGGTGTAGGGGATCAGGTACCAGAGACAGTACCCTCCCTGGCGTCGGTTGAAGAATACGGCC